GCCGCCGTTTTCTCTCTTCACATCACATAACTGATCTGATCTGATTACATAAAATGCGCTTTATTCTTAAGCTGCGCTGTTAAGACGTCAGTGTTTGTCTTGAATTGAATTAAACTAACAGTTATACAGATTATACTTCCACCGGCTAAAATACACACGTCTCTAAATGACGTCTTTTACATTTCTGTAATTGAATACCTCGCGAGTACAAAGTTATTGGCGTCAGCGCATACAGTAAACTCATTATGCAACGCAAAAATGGAAAGTTTTAAAATACACTCTAACCCAAAAACATATGTTAATTCGTTCAGAGTAATTATGGTGTAAAATAAGCTGACTGAAAGGGCTCGTCTTAACTCGTTCTCTAATCGTGTTGTCTTTATGGGTTACAGAGTCGACTAAATATACGTTATTATTAAAAGCTGTAACAGTAAATAATACTTTTAAATAAGTTATTTAAATACTTGCCAAAATAAAGTTCTTTAACTTCATCACTTGTGTTTTATTTTAATTAATTTTTTAAATGTAATAAGTAATAATAATCAATCTTTATCTCTACATAAATTAATTAGGTTTATACAAGTCAAGCAACTTTATCAATTTAATAAAATCAAATAGAATAAATTTGTTTATTATAAATGAAATACTTTAATTATCACGTGTTTGCAGTTAATTATGTTAATTTCACGTTTCTTTTCGTTTTATCATTAAGACAGGGATAAATGAAAGGTTGATATAGGTTAGGCCTATTTTTCATAATGAATGACAACGTCGTTTTTTCGTTCATGATGTTAATGATGCGAAGATAAAAAATTTGGTTTCAGCACATGTGACAGGTAGTTAATTGAAATTTATTTATAAATTTAGTTTACGATTTGGCAGAAATTTGCATATTCAAATGCACACAAGTGATTGTACCACTGTGAACAAAGGCTTCAAACAGGAGCTTTTCATTTATTTAGGTTTGGCTGGTCTCTCGAATATCACTTTCAGTTTCAGTTTTCCAATGAATGGCAAAGTATAGATGTTTGATGCCAGAATTCATTTAATAAAGAAATTAATTCATGTAGTGAATTAAAGCTGAACTAGACCGATCTGAAAATGTGCAGAATCTGTTTACTTATTGTTATAAAGATAAGAACTATACTGTCTTACATTCTTTATATTTGTTTATGATGGCACAGAAAATATTGAAATAAGGTATGCTCAGTTCTAGCATGACATCTGAAAATTATTAAATCTGACTCGATTTTAGCTAGATTATCAAACATTCGAACTACACTAAACTTAATGAAGTTTTAATCTTTAATTGTGTTGTTTCAAATGAAAATCACAAAAACTTGGTACATATCAAATTCATAAAATAAATATCAAATAATTCTCTAACTCTCATACTCTCCTCTTAGTTTCTCTCCCATTACTCCACTGCGCTCTCTCCTTGGTATGCTTTCGGGCCATAAGGAATCATTTGTACAACTGATTCATAATGTTTTCGTTATATATCAAAATGTTAATATCGATGATTTTGATATTTCGAGGCCCTAATTTATTTATTTTAAAATCGATAATTTTCGATTATTTTAATTAGTCGATAACTTTCAATTTCAAGCCTATTTGGTTTATTTTACAGCGACAATTTACTATTTTCATAAATGATATTTTACCTTTTTACAAGCGATAACTTTCGATTATTTTATTAATCGATAATTTCAGATTATTTTATTAAGCGATAACTTCGAAATTTCAATCCTATTTGAACTCAATTGTTCGGTGCTGAAAATTTATTGAAAATGTAAAATGAAGTAAAACCTAACAACAACACCAGCACACATAATTCAATGTGATTCAATGCGACTTCTCGAATACGTAACTGTTAAGTAGTCTTTATATTTCAAACGACTATTTTAGAAATAACAACCGGCATTGTTGTAATTGTCAACAAAGTAGATGTACATACGCTTAGATAGTATAATGGTCAGCTCATAATAATGTAAGAATAGTTGAATTCATGTTGACAACTGATGTGTGTTTAGTAATGGTGTCAATTATTTGCTTGCAATTGTCAAAACTGAGTGCATGTAAATATCGACATGTCTATTAAAGGTTACATCCACTTGCAAGACTGAAAAATGCGTATTTTGTGAATTTTTAAGCGAATTTTATTAGACTTTAGAAAACATCATAAAGAGAATTTCATGTTAGAATCAATCGATTATTTTAAAATATTGGATCTCTTGTTCTATAGCTGATCTTTAGAAACCTCCGGAAGGTGTCTGGCGTAAGTAAGATATTTCGGCGTCCGATTATCTGAAACAAAACCAATAAAATTTACTATGATGATAGATGAATACGATAATGATCGAAAGAGGTAAAATTTTGATTTTTGAGAAATGGCACCCCAACAGAAAAACTAATTTTTGTGAAAATTTACAATTCAAAATGGCTTAAAAATCATATTGTCAAAATCTTATTCCTTCGATC